TCAAAATTATAATGACTAATCGGGAAATGACGAAGAAGTTTTATCGCAAGCTGTTAGAGGACAAGCTAGAAGAAAATAATTCAAATTTTTTAAAATTTATGAAAGTAACTTAAAAACTAAGTGCAGCAATGCCACCTGCGATTCCCAAGGAAAGTAAAAAGCCGGCAACAGAAGAGAAAGATTTACACGCTAAAAATTATCATCTACCCGTGACCTGATGGAAATTTGGTAAATTTAAATAACTGGGTAAAACTTTAAACCAACACGATACCCACGGCATTACAATTCTCCTTTTATATTTTTTTATTCCATCGGCTGATATGAGGTAAAGGTAGAGAACGTATGATTTTCTCAGTGCTTAATTAAGCTTTAAGATGCCTTAGATACGATTTGTTTTAGAGGTAGTAAAGGAACAGATTCAATTAATTTTTTATGTGAAGCAACAAAACAACGCTTTATCAATTGATTTTGACTCGCATCGGTAGAAAAAGTGGTAGTTTTCACCTTTTTTAGAATGAGTGAAATTCAAAAATGAATGGAATCTACAAGTTTAAATCTAACCTTGATTACGAGGATTTTCAATTCTTCACAACTACAAGTACTAATAACGTGTTAAAACCCTGGAGCCTAAGCTTTTAATCAAATTAAAAAGCCATCGCGAGCTTTTTTATGTCGATTGAATAGGAGGTATGAAAAAAAAGGAATAGAGGTACTGGCTATTACGTAATTCGCCTTAATCAGGGAGATTTTGGCGTTATCTTCATAACGCGAGTAGTTTCTTGTCTGTATGATGCGTGCAATTAATTGAATGTTTATTAGTTTACTCGAGCATTTCTACAAACTGCAAAGCAAAAGGCGATGCTACTTATTGAATATTTCTCTTTTTAGATGGAAATGTTCCGAATTTATAATTATGATCCAGTGAGAGGAATAGTTATCTCAGTAATAGGTGTCATATTGATTTTCGTGGATTTCTGCCTCAAAAAATTGATTATGCACCAAAAACCTTTGAAAAACACGTGAATCTAAATGCAACCTAACCCATGCACTCATTAAAGCTAAACACGTGACAGCTTAAGGCCTCTCTAGCAAACACGTGAGTTAAACCTCATGAACATGTGGGGAAAACCCTTACGTAAAACCTCAAAAAATGACTTTGCTTGAAAGCTTACTAAGTCCCTACTTAGGCTCACTTCAGCTGATGACTTTCTTCAGTAGATTTTAACTTGACGGACTAACAATACATTATTATACGTGAGGTAACTTTTTACTGATGCTTTGAAGTAGAAAAGAAGTCTATCTTGGAATTTTTGCTTTTTCAAATAATTGAAGGTAATGCAGGTACTCTTTTAACTCGGGTTTTAAAAATTTTTTAAGCCATTTTGATGTGATTTACACATCTATAAACCTCACTTAAAAACGTAAAAAAAGTAGCGATCCTTTTTTGGATTGATGGGGACTAGTTGCTGCCGCGTTTTTAAGGTTTCCCGACAAAAACCGACCACAATGCTGGCAAGGGAAACTGAAAACGGTCAGCCGCCAAAACTTGTCATCGAAAAGAGCTCGAAATTACTGTTTTTGACATTTCACGCAGTAGTTTATATTCGCGTTTAGCACGCTTAGAATATAGGAGGTGAAGGAAACTAAAATTTCAATCGGACATGCCTTTATTCTCAAGCAATACGACATAAACAAGTTATAAGAACTATAAGCAAGGTTTTACTGAAATTCGAGATCAGAACAAAAGCAGAACATGAATTTTTGCAACACTTTTCACAACAGGTTGGAAGCGTTCTATCTAGAGGTCAGAGAAGGATTCCAGCGTCCTTCTTGAAAATATTAGCCAGACTTTTAGAGGAATGGATAGCTTATATGAGAGAAAACAAAATTCCCAAAGCTAATACTAAATCCAGATTGTATTCTTACTTCCCGTAAGTTAGCACACTCCACGACCTTAGCTTACGGATTTCAGCTAAAGAACTTTT